CAAAAATCGATATTGCGCCTTTAAATTTCTGAAGCCGACGACAATCTAAATATTATTTAATAACTCAGTCCGTACCGCAAAGAAAACCCAGCACTTCGTCTTAACAAATATCACCTAGTTAATGCTGTTTAAAAAAATAATTTGTATTTACTTCGAAAATCATAGGAAATCTATTAATATGTACTGTAGGAAGATGATGAATTATTCATTATCGAAAGACAAAGGTACTTATCACCGAGCTTTAACTTCTCCACAAACTAGAGACAATGAAAGCTTGCACAAAGCTCAGTTAGGGCTCTAAGTTTCCCCGTCGCCTATCTTAAAAGCTTAAACTCCAGAATACATCAAATTATAATTTTACCTCTTGTTTTGTATGCGTGTTAAATTTAGTATCGCACATTAAGAGAGTAACAGAAATTAAGGGTGGAAATGTCTGACTTTTGGTTTGTATCGCCGTGTAGTCTGAGGGAAGTTCAGTTCTATTAAGTGACTAGATCTCTTTAAGTTTTTGACTTTCGCTTTTAGGGAATTGTCGAGAAAATTCGATAATTTTACCTTTTAAATGGCGTCCAAATACCGTGGATCATTTCCCAAACAAGGCTCATGTTAAATTTTGAAATGTAAATCTTCACTGACATGTTTTTATTCATCGCTTCCTATTAAAGGAACCTTTTATGTACGAAGTTAAACACTGTTTCACGACGTCTACGTGCCTCAGTGAGCGGAGCCAGTCCCCATCTTGCCTGGGCAACACAGAATAAAAGTTCTATTTATACATTATTATCTAAGACCTTGACAATTTTGATCATACCCAGCATTCCCCCCCCCCCCAACACCATCAATGAACCCCTTTAGTCCGACAAAATCAGGCGGATCATAATCTACAGTCAGATACAGAGAATCGCAAGTTACGCTGTGTAAATCCACTCACGTTATCATAATTTCTTGTGTCAATATGGCGAACGGATTAGGACATCCGAAACTCCATTATCAGGGATTCTACAATGGTCATGGATAATATTTTAGGGTATTTGCTTTTTACACGTATATAACGAATCAACAAAACTTTGTCAATAAATTCTGTCATATCGTTTACTGCTATAATATGTGATAGGGTCTACAGGAACGCCGTTGATAAGATGAACACTCTCATCTTCAGTAGCCGAAATAGCGTTCAGTATAATGGAGGGACACGTTATCAGCTACTTTACACATCCTGTGTGCTTTGTGGTTATCCTCGGGCTCTCCAGGCAAATTCCAGGGCAGTGTCTCAAATTATGCCACGATCGCGTCCTTCCAAGTCCTTTCTAATTCATGAATCATTATATAACTCGAGATTATAAGTTCTGTACTAACAGGAGCGATATACTTTTGAAAGCACAAATCCGTTTACACACTCAGTATTGCTCGTTGGATGGGGGATCGGCTCATCGCGGGACTTCCACCTACACACGAGCGCCCAACACAGGATAACCCAGAAGAATACGTGCCTTCAGCGGGTTCAAACCCACGATCCCACTGTTTAAGCATCCGAGATGGTGTCACATCGCGCGATACAAAATTGTCTTAATCGATTAACTGGAAACACAATTTTTCATACAACGAAACAATTTCGATGCAATTTTCGATTTATTTAAAATGAGAATACCCCAGGGTTCGGTATGGTCTAGCCGACTGTGAGACCACACATCACCCACAGAACGTCCTTACATTGTTTGGCCACGCCTCAGTCGATAACAAGAGCCCTTTACATCTGCCTGTGATAACGTCTTAAAATCACAGAAGAATTTCTTTTGTTCACACAAAAGTGGTTCAAAACTGAAAATCCGGCAACATCGTAACTAACCATGAAAAAAAAATATCAGGCAATGTTGCAAATTTCAGGTTCAATATATAACATTTTATAAAAACATAAAGACAAATAACTTGTGCATTACGATGGCGAAAAAATTTATAAAGTTAATTTTCAGAAAGATAAGACATAATGAAATACTTTTAAGTTTGTAAGATTTGAGGTTTCCACAGCGGTGAGTATGAAGATTTCTGTCTTCTGGGTTGAATCGCCCTGATGGCGGAGGCAGTATGACCTCTGAAACGTTGGTAAACATCGACCAGACTACACAGCGCAACAACCCAGAAGACGGAAATCTTCATACTCTGATGATGGAGGCAGTATGACCTCTGAAACGT